TTCAATGTATTCTGCGGACTTAAAGTCCTTTAATTGAATTCATTTCCGGCACCTTTGGCTGTCCGGAATTATTCCAACACATGACCGGGCGCACCTATGCTTTTCGAGCCAAAGTGCAAATCTAAGTCTTAATAGTATGTCTCAGGTATAAGATAATAATATTAATTTTATAAATTTCAAATATTTATTTTAAAGGTTTGCCTTTAATTAATATTAAAATGCAGATACAAATATTTGACACAAAATCTTACACCTGGTCTACTCAAGTAATGTATATAATTAATATTATTTGTGGTAATAATTATATCTAATTTTTTTGAAAATATATGTTCTTATTTAGCTTGCTAGTGGTTCTACTATAGCATCTCGTTTAGATCACTCTGCTGTTTTAAGTACGTATGCTATACATAACAATACAGTCACTGTAAAATTTTGATTTTGATATCTGATCAATGTTTTTAGCTCAGGATAGAAATATTATCATATATGGAGGTTTAACAGTAGATATTTCTGGAAACATTGTTAATGTGTTTTCTGATATTGCAATATTAAATATAAATTCCTGGGTGTGGACCGTTCCAAGCGTTTCTAAAACAAATACTCCGCCACCACTTGCACAGCATTCTGCTGCATTATATAAAAACTATATGATACTTGCATTCGGTATTTAATTTTGTATGTTTATTTATTTTAAACAAAAATTACTAAAATTATTTAATTTTTAAACTCCAGGCGCGACTTCAGTATCAACTTTATTCACAAATAATATCTATATTCTTGACATACAAAATTACACTTGGGTCACTACATTTCACATACTCAACTAATCAAACAGATCATAATGATTTATATATCGGAATTGGCATTGGTATAGGTGTAGTTATCTTAACTGCAATTTTATTTATTATTGGTTATAAAAATCGACATAAAGAAGAATTTATTGCGACACCAGGTACATCTATGGATAATCATGTACATGAAACACACATGTCTACAGTTTATATACCTGGAATACCTCCGTCCGAAACATATGCGCGAACTCCTATATATGGAGTTCCAGTGCCTGGTTATAATTATCATAGTTCATAGATTACAAGCCCGTACTTTATTTTAAAAGATAGTTATGGAAAATCTGACTTCTAGTCCTAATTGGTTGGAGCGAAGCGAAAGCCTTTTAAGTTTAATTCTACTAAATTTCAGGAATGTCAGACTTTCGGTTCAACCGGTTCTAATTTAGGTTTGAATTCCAAAAACTAAACCTAAATTTTGTTCAAATGTTGGACACCGAAATATTGATTTAAAATATAATAGCTGACTCTTAATATATATTATAATGACTAACTTTAAATAAAAGAGTGGTTCTTTACAATGTAAAACTAGTAAATGACTGTACGATTTTTGATATAAAAATTCAAATTCTAATTTCGCGTAATAGTTAATAAACTTTATATTTTTATAAAAAATTTACAAAATAAACTGTAAGTTAAAAATTTTATGTGCGTTATTATATATAGATCATTACTTATTAACTTCCTGATATGTAATCTCCGAATTAATAAAATCGAAAATAAAATTCATATTTAACTAATCGACATTGGTTACTGCATAAACAGAATCAATTTAAAGACAGCTTGCTATGGCAAAATTTACTTTCCATTTTTCTGTTTGGTAAATTTTAAAATGCAAGCGTTGGAGCAAATAATAAAGTTAGAACAGCTGATATAGTTTATTAAAAAAACAAGAACCAGAAAAAGCAAAAGTTATATAGTATATGTATAATTTATAATAAATATTAAATTTAGAAACTTACTATGGCTATGGTTTTAAGTATCGCCAGATTCTTTTTTAATAGAACAATATTAAGATAAAGTGTGTAGTAGAAAGCGAGGATTATTCTTTGAAATTAATGTTCCTAAAATTGTAAAGACAATTCCAAACTTTAAGGAGTGACAAGGTGTTTGCAAGTGTATCCTGAATAACGTTAAACTTCTATTGTATGCTATAATAATTTGAGAAAGTAATTTATCAATTATAACAACGTATCTTGTCACCAACTTTCTCTATAAAATACATAATGTCGTTCGAAAACTTATCCAACCCACGTAAAATCGTTAATTAAAAAAGTCGATTCACTTTCAAAACCTCGCTAGACTCAATATCTAAACAATTTAATGATAATACTATAACATTGATCATTACCAAAGATATAATTGATATCGTTGATGATAACATGGTTGAGAAAGGATGTTATCCCTTACCTATAAACATATTTAAAGAAATGAGAAGAAAGGCCACATGCTATATGTTCTTTATTTTAAAATGTTCGTGATCTTTGGTGTGATAAGGGAAATGTTCACCTTTTTTCTTTTTTAAATGCATAACATTAGCATTACAATATTAACTCTATTTTCATATCATTAAAGCTATTAAATTTATCTCAAAAATGGTAAAAAAATAGAATAGAACAAAACTCAGACAACAAACATCGTACAGATATTTACAAATTCTATTATAAACCATGATCCACTGAATCAATTCTCACCGACCACATCTGTGAACATGACAGATGAATGACTTTGAGATACAAGATTAGATTATGGAATTTTTAGTAGTTGGTAGTGATTCAAGCACGTTCAACATTATTATGGCAATTATAATGTTACTTGTCATCCTGAGAAGTTAAGATTAGAATCGGAATCTGCGTTTCTCGAATTACAAAAAAATAAAAGGAATCGATGAATTCTGATTTCTTTAACATTACTTTTGATGACAACTAATATAATATTATAAAGGCTTATACGTATATATACATATAAATCGTATACTGTATATTTATTTAGTATACATTTTTTTAAAAAAAAATCTTTTCTAATGGCTAAAAATTAGCAAAAAGTTCAGATTGGATACCGATTCTTATAGATCCGACCATCATTGATGAAATTATTTTGGATACTGTTCACAAGAAAAACTTGTTTCTCGGCAGATCATTATTTGACCAACCTTTTGCTTCGAAGGTTTCCCAAACGAAAAACGGTGTTTGTTCCCAAGGCGGTTTGTGTAATTGTTGTACTAGATATTTTTTACGCTTTTCGTTCCGAATGTCTTCGATTGATTAATTCTACAATACATAATCTTTTGGAACTTTTATTGATTCCTAACCTGTGCGGAACCTTCTGTTTTTCCATGAAATTCATTATATTTTCGAGATTGGTGGATATAATAGTGCTTCCTACAACTACAATATTTTTCTTATATTTAATTCTCATTAATTTTTGATCCATCTGGTGCTTCATTTTTATTTTATTTCTTCATACATTAGTTTTAGTTCTGCATGCTATTTTCATTTTATTAATAGCATTAATTTCACCGGGTGATTTTGTCTATTTTATTTGGATTATAGTTTACCTTTTGTCAATGCCCTTACGGAGTTTTATTATTTCAATATAAGCATTTTGACATTTTGATAATTTTCTTGGAAGGAAAATATTATACAAGAGAAAATTTTGATAGCTCAAGAGTTATAATGAAAAAATGTGTTGATTAGGAATATAAGAAATCGTCGACGATAATAAATAGCATTTACATTATATATTTATACTTTTTGGCTCAAAATTAATCAATTTGCGAAATCGGAATTTTTGGGACATGCACTTTACAGTATTTGTTCGTCTTTTTTTACTGTTAACTATAGTTTTAGAGTACAATTTTTATGATATTTTGCACCCATGAAGATCCCAATATACCTGGCAATATTCTTTAACTGAAAAAGATTCAGCATTAAAACATATATTTTGATAAGTTTTTTTTTCGGTTATCAAACCAATTCGTAACAAACACATGATTTTTTTGAGGGCGTTGTATAAGTTATGCGGGACGAATGTTTTATTAAGTAATGATAGGTGGAAGTAGTGTTTATTATCTTATTAACCTTTTATCGTGTGTTCTACCTTTTACTTACTATTTATCTACCTCCCTTCCCATTTTATTAATAAAGGATTACTTTTATATAATTACGGTATTTAGTTATAGTACATTATTAATCAAAGAAATCTATGATCAAATTATTACGACAAAAATGTAATCATGGAATGTTGGATCTATAGAAAAATTTTGAGCTCGCATTGTGGCACACACACGTGACCCGTAAAAATCGGTGGCCGTGTTATTAAAACATCAACGATTATAGCAAAACAAAAAGAGAAACTTCCTACTAATGTAATAGTTTAAATGTTAGATTAATTAAAATTTTTATCCTGTTTTAGCTACGCTACGGTAATTGTTTATTACAAAGATTGCCAGAAAAAAATTTGATAGTACGTTCGTTGAATCAATTTACTAGTACTGTATAAAATGTATCGATTTTGCCAATCAATTTTATGCATAAACTTTAATACGTAGTAATGTCATAATTACTGCATCTTACATAATTTTGATTAATTAGTATTTGGAAGTATGGTATACTTATATTAGTTCGAGAATGCTTTTGAAGGTGTTTGTAGTTTGTGTGACGTTGGTACCGTTGAAACGAACGAGAAAAGACCACTTAAATCGAATCAGATTGCAAAAAACATAGATGTGTTAAAGAGAAAGCTTAAAAAAATAAGTCTCCACATCAAAGTCTCCACTCTAGTCTTATTCGAGTAAATCTATCCTAGTTAAAATGGAGAAATCCTCTGGCCAGCCAAGTTATTAGTGACGACTCAAAATTAGTGCAGGAGTTGGAGGATTTTATGAAACCGAAACGGAAAATGGCACCAAGATATCTTCCAACAATTGTGCAAAGAAAGTGTAAAGAATTTGTGAATAGTTTTATTGAGGATCATATAACCGGTTTGCCACGAAAACTTACTCATAACGAGGAGTGGAAAGAATCTGGTCCTGAGCTTGCAAATGTTACTGAGAAAATTTTAGATTCGTTGTAAGCATTTTTTTATATTCCGTAACATTATATAAGCTATGCATCTTATCAGAAATCTTTATTGATTAGGAGAGATGCTTGGAATCTGGCATCTAGTCCGGAGTTTGAGGAATTGCAAAGTGAAGGCACTTATGTAAACAATGTTATACAGTATTACCAGCAATCTGCGCTACATTAAAGTGCCTTCCACTGAGGAAATCTATATATGTCAGTAGTTCTGAACGTAAAAGCAATGCTAGTGCCGACAGAAAGGGGAACAGACGGTTTGGGAAGCGGCCAGACATCATGTTCGTTATGAAACGGGGTGAAAAAAATTATGAACTTTTATATATTGAATGTTCACGTCTGTCATGTAGTGCAAAAAAGAAGAGAGATGATGGTGTGAAGTTGTGGCACAAAACCAATGATGGTATGTATTGGACCCGCAAGGGTTGTAAACCTGATAAGGGTGAATTTGGTATTATTGGGGTGCAGGTAGTGGGAAAAAAAATGTACCTTAATGTTCTTATTAGGGATAATAGCGACGTGCATCGGTATTATCATCTTCACGAATCGACAATACCAATTCAACGCCTGTCGTTTCAAAATTTATAGAGACTTTACTAATAATGCGATCGTAAACATGTCCTTACTTTATAGTGTGCTTCTAAATAGTTCAATGTCTACGGAAGATAGCTCCACAGTGGACTCTGATTAATTTTTGGTTTGATTATGTATTTTATTTTTAATATTAATAAAGCTTGCCAAGGTGGCCGATTTCACATATATAATCGTGTTTACTTTTGCATGTGTATTTCGTGAATTTATTTATTGTATTGATGTCGATAATTTTTTGGTAAGCGATAGAGCGTGAAATTTTTTCATGCAGACATTAATAGTATAGATGTCATATATCACAAGCTAGGTCTCAAACATTTGTATTTATTTTTCGCATGTATTAATAAAATTTTTCTTGGGAAATTTCACTAACGGGCCATGAGGAAAAATCACATGATATTTTTTATTTTGAATGCTTATATACAGTGTATTAGTTTTATAGATCATGTCATCAGAGCTTGAATTATTGAGGCAGCGCATTATCGATTTTGATGCCAAGAATGTTGAAATACCCGATCTTAGAAGAAAGAACTCAGAGTTTGATGTTGAGAATGCTGAATTTAAGCCAGGATTGCCGAACTTCAAAGGAAGAGAATAAGAGGCGTGATGCCGAGAATACTGAACTCAAATCTAGAGTCGGGGAGCTCGAGGCTAGTGGAAAAGAGTGGGTGGGCAACCACAGAATGATAAGGAAGCGATACAAGAGGTGTTACCAGAGATATCAGCTGATGATGATTCTCTAGTAGACCAGCCTACGGTTTACTACAGTAAACACTCTGGACCTTCTAATAATAATAACGCAGACATCAAGTCATCGGAAGATAAGAAAACGGATTCTTTCTTAGATGAAGTGCATAAGAAAAAGTTATTAATGAGATTAGGCAGAGTAAGAAATTATTGTGTGAATCGTCTACCAAGGTCTTATCTAGGGATGTCCGGTCACTTTGTGACCCTCCAAAGGGATCCATCTTTAACTCAGGACAAAGAATCTCGATTCATTACCAAAAATCTGCCGATCTCAGAAATTCTACTGGAATTTGTAATCTTGTTTTTTGCTATGAAGATGGAACTGTTGTTGAAAAAGAGCATTCGTTTATTATCAAAAATCTGCAGAGATGGGGAATTCTGATGGAATGCGTCAAGTCGGTAATTGCTATATGAATGGAATAGGTGTTGAAAAAGATGAACGTAAAGCATTCATTTATTATCAAAAATCTGCAGATATGGGAAACCCTGATACAATACGTCAAATTGGCAATTGTTATTTGAATGGAATAGGTGTTGAAAAATGCGAGCGTAAAGCATTCGTCCATTATCAAAAATCTGCTGAGATGGGTGATGCCATATAATGTTGGTAGTTGTTATAAAGAAGAAAGTTGAAAAAGATAAAAATAAAGCGTTCATATATTTTCAAAAATCTGCCGAAATGGAGTGTATTATCGGAAAGTATAGTCTTGGAAATTATTATATAAAAGGAATAGGAGTTGAAAAGAATGAGTTTAAAGCATTTATTTATTATCAAGAATCTGCAAATATGGGAATTCCTAAGGCTATGGATCGTCTTGGTTACTGCTATGTTAAAGGAATAGGTGTTGAAAATAAAGCGTTTATTTATTTTCAAAAATCTGCTGAGATGGCGATACTAGTGGAATATGTAATATTGGTTCTTGTTATCAAAATGGAACAGGAGTTAAAAAAGATGAGCATAAAGCATTCGTTAACTATAAAAAATCTGCTGATATGGGCTATTCTCACGGAACATTTAATGTTGGTTGTTGTTATAAAGATGGAGTTGGGGTTGAAAAGGATGAAAATAAAGCATTCATTTATTTTCATGAATCTGCCGATTTAGTTGATGCTGATGGAACATATAATGTTGGTTATTGTTATCAAAAAGGAATTGGAGTTGAAAAGGATGGATATAAGGCATTTATTTATTTTCAAAAGTCTGCTGATATGGGTGACAGTGGTGGAATATATTACGTTTGGTTATTGTTATGAAGCTGGAAGTGGAGTTGAAAGGACAAGAATAAAGCATTTATTAATTACCAAATATCGAAATGCTCTTGCACAAGCTCATGTTGGTAGATATGGAATATAAAGCATTTACTTATTCTAAAAAGTCAGCCGAAATGGACGATCATCATGTAGGAATGTTTCAAGTTGGATACTGCTATCTATATGGGATTGGAGTTAAAGCAAGAATATGAAGCATTTACATATTATCAAAGGATATTCTATTGCAGATCCACGATTTTGGAATTACTCATAATTTTACTAATGAAATTGCAGCCGCCCACTAAGTGAAAATTGTTCCTGGGCCAATTTTACCATAATGCGGGCTTATTTTTTTAAAAAATTTCTATTTTTTGCAATGAAAAAATTAAAAATTTAATTTCGGCCAGAAATTAGTGAACAATTATGTAATGCTGGCCAAAATTTTGAAGATCCACGGCCGTTAGCCAATCAAAATCGAGGATCTGCCGCGCAATTTTTGTGCGGCACCTAGGGTTAATAAGAAATTCTTCTGCTGTGCTTCAAATTGGTAATTGCTATCTTTCTGGTGCTGGAGTTGTAAGGGATGAACATATATTATCAAAAATCTGCTGAAATGGGATCATTGACTGGAATGTTTATTGTTATCGTAACGGAATCGGGACAGCAAAAGATTTGCAAAAGGCAAATTATTACAAAAAGTAAGCAAGCTACTCTTTAATCATATTATACTATTACTTTTTAAAACTTATATTTGCCTTTTTGTTCGACTGATTACTATGAATTCTCTACTAATGAAACAATTCACACTTATTAATTGTTGGGGATGATGCTGAAATTTTGACTTATTTTATTATGAAATTTTAAAAAATTTCCGGGCCTTTTCGTTAGGCCATGCAAAAAAATTTTTTCGTTTAACATTACCCGCCGACCCAAATTTAGCAAAAACTTAAAAAATTTTTTTTTTTTTTTTATAAAAACAA